ACAATAAGATAATCAAATCATCAGCTTACAAATTACCTTTTAGAGTTAAAGAAAAAGGGAAAGAATTACCAGCTTTATACGATTTGATTCTTCAAGAGAATTATCCAAGCCATCTTCTTCATCTCTTTGCTTATCAGGAAAGCTGCTATGTGTCAAAATCAAGCACCAAGAATCAATAGATAAAACTTGAAAAAGGCAGGACTTGAGGACAGCCATTGTGAATCGTAGCCGTCTCATGTCTATTTTGCAAAAGTCAAGCAAAGTATATAACTTTTTTTCTCAATACATCACCCTGTATCAGTGATCCACTTCTTAGCTATCATTTTCAACAAACCATGTCAAAAACGGTTTTCAATTACTTGCAACTCAACAACGAGTTATTAATGGCAAACGTTACTTAAAATAAAGGATAGTCATTTAATCTTTAGCAAAGAAAAGAAACGTTTGATGGCAGAAGCCAAATTTCAAGCAGTTTCATCATTTAAAGAAATTCCCTTTGGAACTCCATTTAGACCACTAACTGCATTTATTGAAGAACCAAAACTAGGAAGTATGGTCATGGAGCCAAATTAATACGGTTTCCTACTTCTGTGTAAAATGCTTAAAGTTCCAAGTTTTTCCTTTGAAGTAAACCCCATTTCAGAAGTCGTTTAGAGAAAAAAATTTAACATTTTACAACAAAGGTGATAGCAAACTAAACAAAAGATTTTTGAAAAGTCACCTCTTGGAACGCTTGTGTCTTGGAGATGTCACTTTCAGCCCCGGCATTTGGCTTTCTCCGCTGCCTTGAAACCCCATCACTGAGAAATTAGTATCAGAGAGAGAAATTGTTTATATCTGAGAAGAGAAACCAAAAGATATCAGAAAATGGATTAAAGTAGAGGCCTTTACCAATTAGGCTCCAAAAGAGGGGGAGGAAAGAAAAACAAGGGAACTCTGGAGCGTTTTGAGGAAGATGAATCAGTGGGTACGCAATTTGAAAGAAGAAAAAGAACAAATGGGTTCTCAGACCATTGATTACATTCCAAAACTAAAATTGTCTTCTTGCATTTTCATGGCAACTAACCAACAATGCATAAAGTGATCATTCTGCTGCTAAAAAACAGCCTGAAACTTAGCGAAAGACTGAAAAAAATGCTTTTGCATTAAAAAGAAGAAAAAAACCCACAAAAACGTATAAGAAAATATGAGACTTTTTTGGCTTTTGACCAATGTTTCCTTCTCTTTTCTTTACATTAAAAGATGTAGAACCAGCTCGTGGGCATCAAGGAAGGAAGAAGAAAGGTTTGTGTTTGACACTCTACCAATCAATTGTCAAACGACGAAAAGTAGACACTGTTCTTCAATCACCCGACTACCACAGGTCTCAAAAGCAGACAAATTGAAGAAAGATGAATAATGACTACCACTGTTTACAAAGTTAGAGCATAGGGAAACGAATATTCAAGTCTTCACAATCATTTATTTATTCGTACTATACATCCATTAGTCAATCTTGACGTTCTCGTTGCTTTCCATTGTTGAGAAGCAAGTGGGAGCCGATGCTGTTATTTACTATATACACTACATTTATCGTATGATACTTCAATCCGTTCAGTTTCATAGGAATGGTATCGAAAATTATTTTTAATCACCCAATATTTATTTTATTGTTAAAAAATTAAGGAGCAAATCTCTAACATGCCACGACTCTCGAGTATAGCTCTAAAGTCAACTATTAAAGTAAATTTGCAACCTTTTCATCTCCTTTATCAACTTATCTGTAGGATTAAACTTTGAATAAAATGAAATTTGATAGGTCTTGATTACAAGCACCAGTTGATTTATAACTCATTTCATTTAGTAATAAGCTAAATCTGTAGAGCTACAGGGCCACCTGAAAATTCTTGTCTTAGCTAATATATATCTTTTTCTCAACAATCTATGGAAATATCTAGCTAATGGTCAAGTTTTTTTTTTCAAGATTGAAAAAATGTTTAAATTATATATATATATATATATATATATATATATATTATTTTAAATGTCTAATGTTCTAATGTTCCATTCAACTTTCATTTTAATATTGAACCATCAATGTCCATTAAAAAAATCTGTCATCCAAAGAATTTATTACATATGACATGTTTTTAATCTCTTATTAAAAAATTTAAAATATTTAATTCTAAAAATCCCTTTAAAATCCTTAATTTGTCATCCTCAAATCCATTCTCATACCTCATTCCGTTGTATAATCAACAATCACCATTCACCTTTTTTTGTTGTTGGACCCATTATTGATTATCTTATTCTTCTGCCATTGAAAATCAACAAACGAGACACCATGAAATTAACAACGAGCTACTTGTGTTGATTTATTGCATTACACTTCCGTCCACCAACAACATACGAATGACTTGCAATGAGGCGAGAGGAGGAGACTCGTGGATTGTTCATTGATACGACAACAAGATGTCAACCAGAGACAATAGATGATGAGATGGGGGGAAAATGTTCAGGATTTTTTGAGAAAATTACGCATTTAGGAGTTTTTTTTGAGGAATTAGAAATTGAAAATTTTAATTTTTAAAAAAATAAAAAACAAACAATGTATGAAGTGATAATTGGATGATGGAATTTTTAATCGACATTAATGAATTAATTTTAAAACAATAACACAATGAAAGGTTAAACACTCGCCTTGAAGAAAAAATTGTATAGCTTGAATTTGAAGTAAAACCCTTTTCCCCCTCCAACTTTACTGTAGCCAAGAGGTTAGCTCAGCACATTGCTTGAACTTGGTGCATTTCCATTCACCAACTTGTTGGACACATATGTGAAATATACAAGCTTATCTCGTGTCTATGTAATCTCAATGATAAAAAAACTGTTTTTTTTTCAAAAAAAATTATAAATTTAATCAATTATGTCTGCTGTGTATAGATACATTATCTCATAATATATATATAAATGAAAAAAAAGATTGTCTCATAATTGACAAATCAAGCAACTGATCGTTCAACAAATCCATCATTTCCGGTATCAAACTGGTTGCTTAACATAGCTGAAAATTAATGGTTCGTTTTATAAATAATTTTTGAAATATTTAAACTAGAAAGGACATGAATGTACATAAAAGAACTGCTATTTGAGTTGGTTTCTCAACTAATATAGAACAATAATGCTCTACCGATAATCCTAATAATCTCAAAGTCTTTTAAAAGTAAATTAGTTGATCCTATTTTCATATGTAATGAGATAAAGAGAGGTAGAGTAGTAAGTTGTCCCCAACGCCAGGTTAGGAGCAACTTTCATGGAAGACCTCTGTTATGAATTACCCTAAGTGGGACTCGATCCCACGACCACAAGATTAAAAGCATTGTGTTCTACCAACTATAAATGATTATGAACAGTGATCAAGCACTTTCTTCTGCGTCCAAATGTAAGTTTCCAACAATGAATAAAAAGGGTAAAAGACAGAAGTAGCCTCTAACCTCAAAAGGGGTGAAAGTAAACATTGGATGCTTAAAAGGAAATGGGGTTTCTCTCTTTGTCTAAACCACCACGGCACCACCACCTTCTTTTTCCTTTTTTGGGACACCCAAGTCCTAACAAGATATACTCAACTTGTCTTTCAGTATCAAACACACTTATCATTTGTCACGGAATCAACAAAATTAAAATAATAAATAATATATACGAATTATCATTATTTATATCGACGGCACAGAAAACATGTCACAAGTAAAATTTCAATATTTTTAGACATTATATTTAGAATTAAAAGTTTAGACTTTACGATGAAACATATTTAAATAATTTAAGGTAATTATAAGACATTATCTATTTAAAATTTTTTATAATTATTGATAATATATATTCCACAAATACAATTTTTTAAATCTAAAGTATCTACGAAAAACAATACTCTTTCTTTTCTTATTGTCCTCCCAGTTCTAAAGTTTTATCTCCAGCACTTGATTAATCCGAACATACCCGCGTCGCATACGTGACTTTGGTGGATGAGTCTCCTGGTAGAGATTTTCTGTATACACAGTAACCCAAACTCGAAACTTTACTTAAGTATATCAAACTGCTTACCACTTCAACTAATTTTAATCGATAAATAATACTCTTTTTTAATTATTAAAATTACGTAATAACATTAACTCCCTTGTCATAAACTATTTATTTTCATTTTATATATCAATATATATAACGATGGAGGAGTTTTGACCTTTTCCAATATGAATCCGATAAATTAAGGTTGTGCTGTAAGGTGGCCAGGTCTCCCTTTTTGTCGCATACTTAATTAAAGAGAAAAATGTTTTTTTTAATAAAAAAGAAAGAAAGAAGTGTTTCAATATGATTAAGCTTCAGGACAAAGTCTTGCCCATGGTTTTATATGTTTCGATGTGGATATTTGTTAAACATAGAAATATTCAGTTTTTATCTTATCATCATATTTATACTGAAAGTACAGGTGATTTATAAGATGAATTGAATCGGACATAGACATGATATTCATATATTTTATACTTGTTCCAATTTAATCTTATTTAAAGTATAGATTTTAAATTTTATCTAATTTCATTTTATTAAGACGATTTTGTTCTAGTCCTGCTTGTATATATATTTTATATTTTTAACAATTATGTTATTTTTAATCTCGTATTAGATTTTAGGTTTAATATAAAAAATACTTCAATTATATTTTTTTATTTAAATATCTGAATTTTTTTTGTCAATATAGGTGTCTAATGTTACGAACGTTATCATTTTAAGTGTGTCGACGTAACGACCATTAAAACAATCCGTTATTTGATACTTATCACGTTTATATTTATTTCGAAAATTTTATTTAGAAAAAACTTAAAATTAATATTTTTAAAATAACATCAAATTTTCAATAAAAAATCTAAAATTATTAAAATTCAAAATTCTGATTCTCTTTACTCCTATTGCCGGTCATCTTTGATCACCCATCCATTGTCGAATAGTCATCCAACCGTCGTCGTCCACCCACTGAAAGGTAGATAATGGAATAAAGGATGTCCACAAAGTAAAGGAAAAATGGAATATTTGGAGCAAAAAGGTCATTATGAGAAGACAGTGAGTAAGACCAGTAGAGAGGCTGGATATCGCCCACCTCTTCCCAATACCGCACTACCGGCTAAACTCCATTGAAAGGTAGGTGGCCGAAGAAAAACATTCGCCCAACTGATTTCATATGATTGTCTTCAATGCATAGAATGGGCCCAATGAAAAAAGTTCCTTTTCGAAGTTGATTGCAATTTCGAGAGTGATCCCAGAAAATAGTTCATAAAAGGGAAAAATCCAAAATCTCTGTTTTGGGTCTTAAATATTTTGTTGGTTTTTCATTGGGTTCAATTTTTAAAGCCGAAATGGATATTCTTAACAGGCGTTTGTCTAGTTAGCAAGATGACGTTGAGAGTCAAGAATCCCACATCACCTAGTTAATTTCACTCGTTGCGGTGGAAGTAGCAGAAGCCAGCAGCGTAAGCTCATCTTGTCGAGTACATCCGATAAAATTGGAACGATACAGAGAAGTTTAGTATGACCCTGCGCAAGGATGACACGTAAAAATAGTGGGCTAATTTTTTTTTTATTTTTTTTCTAGCTGGTTCAAATGGCTTTCTCTTTCTGATTTCTTTCACAGCTTCGTTCAGGTTTTGGATACTAGGTTATTGGGTTACAAACCAGTTAATGTCCCCGTTGCTGCTTTTATAAGTTGCTGTTTTATGTTAGAATATGGTAAGAAGAATAACATAAGCTGCTTCATATTTTGCTTATATAATTTCCAAGGCTTTCTCCCCCTTTTTTTTATTCATGCAATTATTATGTAAAAAAAAAACTGGGTTTGATGCATTTCATTGTGGGTTTGTTATCATGATTACGAAAAGTTCAATCTTGCTTTGCTAAATAGCAGATTTTTTTTCTTTCAGTTTCATGATCGAAACTTGGAAAATACTTGACTTTATGCTACCATAGAGACCTATCAAATGTTCTAGCACGGTTGATTGGAGAAGTGAATCTGGATATCATCCATGTTATATTTACTTGGAATGCTTGAATTTCATTTGAGAAAAGCTAAAACAAATTGTTGCAAATCCCGCGTAAAAATCGATTGAACCATTAATTAGTTAACCTGTAGTTTTGAAGAGTTCACTATCACTTTGATGTCCTCCATTTTAGTTTAATTGGATTGAACTGTGTACTTGCAGTGCTGAATCCTGAAGCAGCTAAGCTTGATGAAAGAACGTCTCACAAAAACACCTAATCAGGCTCTCCTGTCAATTCCAGCTAGTTGTAACCTATAGTATCTTAATTTGCTTGAGCCTGAGCTAGTTGTTTATACAGATTCCTGCTGTTTCAATTGACATAAACAAATGAGCATCAATTGACATAAACAAATGAGCATCAATTGAAGTAAGATGATAGTTGTCTATTATCATATTATAAATTTGCCATGTTTTTGAAGATTGTATTAAGCCATAAATGATCTATTCAGTTGTTTTCATTTGTGTAGGAGGAGAGAGTTGGGGGTCTATGTTACTCGTACTTGTGTGTGTGACGTTGTATGTTCATTTTTCTTTTAGCTTTTTGCGTACATTTAAAGGGCCCTCGGACTTGGAGGATGGTCATATCTATATATCCATATTTGAACATACATTTGAATATGTCAAACATGTGTATTTCAGAAAAAGAGAAAACAGTCGTTGCTAAGTTGGTTTAGTTCATGTTCACAATTGGTGTGACCGGTGTTGTGTTATTATCATTGCACTTACTTTAGTAGCTTATCAGGATTGCATTGGACTCGGCTGTTTATAATATAGTGGCCTACCATGTTTATCACCCCAAAAATTGGCTAGAGGTTCGGACTTTGATCATCATCATCACTCATTCATAAGGCTTCTTAGGCTACAAATGAGACGAGACATATCAAAAGTTATTCAAAATAGATTCGATTAAAGTTCGGTTAATTCTCGAATCAAATGAACTCGATTCGAATCTTAACGAGTTGAACGAGTTACTTGATATATGACTCAAAAAGATAATGTATTATTTTTTAAAATCAAATTATAAATAATATTAACATTTATATATTGTTTTTTAATACAATATAAGATTTTCATATACATAATATTTAGGTACGAGTTCGAGTTTGAGCTTCAATCGAGCTAAGTCAAACAATATTTCGAGTTTAAGTTTTTTGAGCTCGAGTCGAACTTCAACTTTTGATTTCGAGTCGAACTTGAAAAATTTAAACTAGTGAGCTTTCGAATTGAGTCGAGCTTCAAAAAAAATTTGAGTTCAAGTCGAGCTTGACAATTTTAAGCTCTTGAGTTTTTGAATCGAGTCGAAATTAGTTTTACATTTTTCGAGTCGAATCAAATCAAACTCAATTTAACTCGTTTACAATCCTATTCACCCCAAAACTCCGTACTTTCCCCACTTTTCTTTTAGTGTATATTTATCCATTCAAGCCATAATATGATCAAGAGTTCAAATGGGCTCAATTTTTTTTAATAATTTAAGTGATTAAAAGATTATATGTGTTTAATATTTTTCTTAGCTACATATAAATCTGCTCGAAACATTTAAGAAGAATAATAAATAAATTTAAAATTATTAAACACAACAAATATATTTGACGATTAACAAATAAAATTTAAATGCATCGTATTTATATTAACAATTATGATAAACGTTATAACATTAAATTGAAGTAGTGTTTAAATACACGAGAAAAGGATGAAGATGAGACCTGATAAAGGAGAAAGTGGAATATAGGCGGTAGGCCCTCGTAGACTTTGCACAGTAACCAAAAACATAAGACTGACCGCACTGTAAATTCGCATCTCGATGTCTACTAATATTTGCAACCATTACTAATAAATCAAATCCTCCTTTCAGTTTTCAGATCAAAAAGCTAACCGATCCGCCAATCCCATACCCTTCTCTCTTAAGATTTCGATCCTCACACGTAACCAAAGTACAAAAAACATAGCACAAACACTCAAAAAACAGTCCAAAAATAGACAAAACCCAGTTTGTTTTTGGTCTTCCTATTCGTTTCCAACTCACTTAAAAGATACACATTTTCACACGCGATCTTTGAATTTCCCTTTTTCAATCAGCTTCTTTTTTCCTTCCCAATTTTGGCCACGGGGGACATATATGCCCATTTCCCCGTATCACACAACTCACGAACCAATCTATCGATTCCCCTAGACTTTAACTCCCCACCCCTAAAAACACCCAAACCCCCAAAACAACCATGGCAGAATAAAAATTGGGTCATCTTCCTTTTTAAAACTCTTTGTATGGAAATGGGAGGTAAAAGAAATTACATGTTATATGCTAATATCATGTATGTCACATTTTGCAGTCAATTCCTTATTATACGGTTCTTCTTCTGTGACCTAGCTGCTCTTTGCTGTTGTTGTGCTGTTTTTTTTAATATGCCATAACTATGTTTGCTACTATATGTTTGCTCCTTCCCCCTCTAAAAAAGAACCCGTTAACTTAAATGTAATGTTTTCCCCTTGTAAGTTTAGCAAAAAAATAAAAAATCATATGTTATATGATTTGGAGATTGTACATCTTTCTTTACTTCTATGATCTGCAATTTGGACCCATCTACATCATGTTATAACACCGGTTTGGGGATTATGTGGTTATTTACATTAATGAATTTGATTGGATTTAAAAAAAATCTTATTTTGGGGTTATTATTGTTGTTGCGAGATTAATGAATGATATGTTTTGTTCACATGTTAGGGTTCTGTGACAATTGTGTTTCTGGGTCTTGTTAGTTTGGGGTTTTGGCTGAATGATCTTTGGAGATTTTGGTTTTGAGGTGGATTTTAAGATGTGGGTCTAGCATGGTACTGTTTCTTTGGAGAAATAGCTTTAGGTTTTGTCAGGAACCCTTTACTTGGTAAAAGAACCTAAACGGGCTCTTTTTTTTGCTAATTAACACATTATATTCTAAATATCCTTCGAATACATGGAAAGTTTTTACATATATATTTTTCTTTTCTGATTTGCTAATTATATTGCAGCAAATGTTTGTAATATTCAAGAGTGCTGGTTTATTTTATAAATGGGATGCACGGTTATGATTAAAATTCTGCATGGGTTCGAGTAATTTTAACTATCAATTCTGTACTAAATCCAGGATGTTTAGAAATGTATAAACTGCTATTAAAGGTGAAGTTACTGGCAAAAAGACATTCTGCTTTAGCAATTTCCCCCCCGGGAAGCTGTTATGTCCTTTAAAGTACCTATCTTGGTGCTTAGGAAGGACTTGTCCATGATTTTATTTCAGTTTCCGTTATATATCCTTGGACAATGTTTTTTTTTGCATCATCTGCCTATACTATGGTCTGAACTTTGCTTAGACAGGAAATTGACTTCGGGGACCAATTGATGTTCATATGCATCGCACATTATATCGCTATAGAGATATCGGTTTGAATCATGGAAGTGGTCCCTTGTTCTGGCTTTCAGTATGTTACGGACTCTGATTGCGCTCAACTGAGTTCAGGAACAACTTTTGAGGGAGAATCTAGTTTCTTGGAAATAGGAAACAAATTCAAGAATCGGATGATAGGATGGATGACTTATTGCCAAATGTGGACAAGAATTCAGCTGGAAGACAGGATGCAGACCAAGGCACAAGGGATGATTTGCCAATTTCTGAAGAACGCCATAGTGGATCTTCAGATAATGATTGTCACACAGAGCGCCAAAGATTATCTTGTGGATCACATGATTATGAAGATGATTCGAATGCGCAGAATTGTTGCACTGGACCTGATTTGGCCTCTGAAAACTCTCATTTAATTGTTGACCCCATCGAAAGTGAATCGCCAAGCAATAACAGGGAGGTAGAGTTGTCTCTTTCAGAGTCCAAGTGGTTAGAGCGTGATGAATCTGTGGCATTGTGGGTCAAGGTAGTATTTCTAGTTTTAGGTAGTATTTCTAGTTTTAGTCATGAAATAACATCTCTCTTATACAATGATTTTGGTTTTGGTTCACATTACTGCAAACATTTTTTTGGATGCGTTCTCACATTATGCCTTATGTTTATTTTCGTGGACTAGCTGCAATTTTGTACTCGTTACCTGTTTGTGCTATTAAATTCCCTTTATATTGCCATATGAATATTTTTATCTCTAGGAAAATCCTTTTTCTACTGTTCCCTACTTTTGTTTTTTTCTTAATAAATAAATATTGTTTTTATTAATTACTTAATTTGATAGTCGATAAAAATACATGCAGCGAGTATCTCATGTTGATACTCTTCTGTTTTTTCCCAAATATAGTGGAGAGGAAAATGGCAGGCTGGCATCAAATGTGCAAGGGCAGACTGGCCATTATCGACTTTAAAAGCAAAACCAACTCATGATCGGAAGCAGTATTTTGTGATATATTTTCCTCACACCAGGAATTATTCCTGGGCAGACATGCTACTTGTTCGATCCATTAACGAATTCCCTGAGCCTATTGCATATAGGAATCATAAAGTTGGACTAAAAATGGTTAGAGATTTGTCTGTTGCAAGACGGTACATAATGCAAAAGCTAGCTGTTGGGTTGCTCAATATAATTGATCAGTTTCATTGCGAGGTATTGTTTTCTTCTTTCTAATCCTTTTTTATTTGGTATATTACACAATTCCTCGGTGCCCTTCTTACCAGAGTTCTATTTCTACATGTGTAGGCTTTGATAGAGACAGCACGTAATGTGATTGTCTGGAAGGAATTCGCCATGGAGGCCTCACGCTGCATTGGTTATTCTGATCTTGGAAATATGCTTTTGAAACTTCATCATGTAAATTCTTCACTTGACTTATTTAGATATATGAAACTTTACCAGGATTAAATGATGGACCCACCAAATGACCAAATAGTAGCATGTAATGTGGGTGATTTGCCATACTTGGATCCTTTTCGATAAATGATAATAAGGTTGGAAGCGTTAGGAACATGGACAGCAAAGATTTGTGCTTGGTCTTCCCTACTACATTTGTGCTATTAATTTGATTTAAGTTAATATATTTACACTTTATTAGAAACTCATTAAAATACATGTTCTTTTACCTTTTATTAGACTTATATTTGTTACTATGAGATTATATCCCTAGGGGATATAAATGTTCAGTAAGCCCTAATTGTAGAGTTCATGTTTGTTGACCTGTGTTATGGAATGACTACAGTCAAATATCATAGCCACCCTGCTGTCCACCGTAGCATTTTAATTAATCCATCTCTATCATCTCTGTCAACGCACGCGTAGAATATATAAGTAATAGCATTTCTCGGTTGCAGATGATATTGCAGCACTACATAAATGCTAACTGGCTTCAGGAGTCTTATCACTCATGGGTACAGCAATGTCAGAATGCACATAGTGCTGAATCCATTGAATTGCTGAAGGAGGTATGTCTTATGTTAAACTCCAGTGGATATTTAAATAGAATGTGATTAAAAATTATGATTCTCAAATGACTACCTCAAGTGCAATCTCTATCATCTAATATTAACTGCCAACCCTCCCTCTGCCTCCCAGAAAGGGTTTTTACAATAACAGTGTCATTCCATCTAGGCAAACAAGGGACCATGCATCAGCTGCATATATTTATTATTGCAGGGAAGGGGCTGTTCTTCTGTTTTCCTAGTCTATTTGATATAAAACTAACATTTTTTCCCTTTGTCTTTGATTCAGGAATTGTTTGATTCTATACTATGGAATGATGTTAGGTCTCTTGGGGATGCACCAGTGCAATCCACACTTGGTTTTGAATGGAAAACATGGAAGCATGAAGTTATGAAATGGTTCTCAACATCTCACCCTGTATATACTGCTGGGGCTATTGATCATCAGAACAATGATGACCCCTCAATCAAAAATCTTCGAGTTAGCAGGAAGAGGCCCAAGCTTGAAATCCGCCGTGCAGAGACACATGCCTCCCAAATGCAAAGCAATGGTTCCGATAAAACTATGACGGTTGAAATTGATTCTGGTTTTTTCAGTATCAAGGATGCTGTAGATGTCAATATACCAACACCCGGAGTTTGTAAAAAGGAAGAAGAGAGGAAGCAAACCACACCAATGGATGCATCAAATAATCTTACAGACAGTTGGGACAATATTGTGGTTGAGGCAAGGCATTCTGAGCCCATCCACACCTACAGTATTGAAAAAACACAAGCAAGTGTTGAGGTCAATAGCTCCTCAGCTCTGCATATTCAGCCAAAAGAGTTGGCATTATTGCCCCTGAATGAAGCAGTTGCTAAGAAATCCATAGATACTGGGAGTAAAAACCGGCAGTGCATAGCATTTATAGAGTCAAAGGGAAGGCAGTGTGTGAGGTGGGCAAATGAAGGGGATGTTTATTGTTGTGTGCATTTGGCCTCTCGTTTTGCAAGTAGCTCGGGAAAAGCAGAAATGACTCCGCCTGTTGATACACCAATGTGTGAAGGTACCACTGTGCTTGGCACTAGATGCAAGCATAGGTCACTCTATGGCTCTTCATTCTGCAAGAAACACAGACCCAAAAGTAATGCAAATAATTTCCCACATTCTCCAGAGAACACACTAAAAAGGAAGCATGGGGAGATCATTCCCAGTTCCGAGGCCACATATTGTAGAGATATTATTTTGATGGGAGAAAGCAAAAGTCCCCTGCAAGTGGAGCCAGTGTCAGTAATTGGGAGTGATGCATTCCAGGGAAGATTCAGTTTAATTGAGAAGCCTGAACATTCATATAAAGGCCATGATAGCACTAAATTACTGCATTGCATAGGCTTATTTTCCAATGGTGGTTTTGATCCCTGTCATGAAAGTCCTAAACGGCATTCGTTATACTGTGATAAGCACCTTCCCAGTTGGCTCAAGCGTGCTCGGAATGGTAAGAGCAGGATAGTATCTAAAGAAGTGTTTCTAGATCTTTTGAAGGACTGTAATTCACTAGAGCAAAAAATGCATTTACATCAAGCATGTGAACTTTTCTACAAGCTCTTTAAAAGTATTTTATCTCTAAGAAACCCAGTTCCTGTGGAAGTCCAACTTGAATGGGCCCTTTCTGAAGCTTCAAAGAATTTTAGAGTTGGAGAAATTTTGATGAAATTGGTTTACAATGAAAAGGAGCGACTTCAAATGTTATGGGGCTTCACTGTCAATGAAGGTGCACCTTTGCCCTCCGTTGTGGAAGAACCAGTTTCCTTGCCATTGGCCGTTAATGATAGCTTTGATGATGACGGGGTTATTAAGTGTAAAATTTGTTCGGTGGAATTTTTTGATGACCAGCAGCTCAGCGCGCACTGGATGGAGAATCACAAAAAGGAAGCACAATGGTTCTTTAGAGGTTATGCTTGTGCAATCTGTCTGGATTCATTTACTAACAAAAAGGTTTTAGAATCCCATGTTCAGGAGAGACACCATGTGCAATTTGTTGAACAGTGCATGCTTCTCCGATGCATTCCCTGTGGCAGCCATTTTGGCAATACTGATGATTTATGGTTGCATGCGCAATCAGCTCATCCTGTTGATTTTAGACTGTCAAAGATTGCTCAACAGCATGATCAATCTGCGGGTGAGGAATCTCCACAGAAACTTGAGCCTGGCAACTCAATTTCTTTGGATAATAATTCAGAGAATGTAAGCAGTTTCCAAAAGTTTATTTGCAGGTTTTGTGGCTTGAAGTTTGATTTACTGCCTGATCTTGGTCGCCATCACCAGGCTGCTCACATGGGATCATGTTTAGCTAGCTCCCGTGCCCCTAAGAAAGGGGTTCGTTATTATGCTTATAAACTAAAATCTGGGAGACTTAGTCGTCCTAGATTTAAGAAAGGTTTGGGGGCAGTGTCATACAGAATCAGGAACAGGGCAACTGCTACTATGAAGAAACGCTTGCAGGCTTCAAAGTTGATTGACACTGACACCATTAGTGTAGACCCTGATGTAACAGACACTGCGAGTCTTGGTAGATTAGCGGAATTCCAGTGTTCTTCCCTTTCAAAAATTTTATTTTCTGAAATTCATAAAGCAAAAGAGCGACCTAATAACTTGGACATTTTTTCTATTGCTCGCTCTTCTTGTTGCAAAGAGAGCCTCAAAACATCATTGGAGGAGAAGTATGGAACATTACCGGAACGTATGTATCTTAAGGCAGCCAGGCTTTGTAGTGAGCATAACATTCAAGTCGAGTGGCACAAAGATGATTTTGCATGTTTAAATGGATGTAAAGCTGTGAAGGACCCAGATTTTCTGTCCCCATTGATGCCTCTTCCTAATGGTTTTGAAAGCCACCGATCAGCAGATTCTTTGGATCGTGTCGATGAGTGGGAACTGGATGAGTGTCACTGTATCATTGATTCACAACATTTTAGACAAATGCCCATGCAGAAAGCATGTGTCTTGTGTCATGATATAAGTTTTGGGAAGGAATCGGTTTCGGTAGCTTGTGTAGTGGATGAAGGTGTTTCTAATTCCCTTAACATCTGTGGTGGTGGCTCCAATGACCAAAATGCTGTATCCTCCATGCCATGGGAAAGCTTTACTTATGTTACAAAATCTTTGCTCGATCAATCCCTTCAACTTGATGCCGAGGTACTTTTGTGTTTGTATTATTACCATCTTTTTTTCTCTTTTGCTACTTCATATAGACTCCTTAGAATTATGCCTCAATGGAGTTTACTTCATTGCATGGAACAATGACGTTAGAACCATAAGTTCTTTAGATTCTTGATAATTCCCTTAACTGGAGATTTCTGGGTTTTGTTTGATATTACCATCAAATGCAGTTATTAGGACAAGAACAGACATCACCCTTTTTTCATGGCTAATGGCTTGCATCTCACCCTTCACATGACGGAGTGCATTTTTAATTGCTTTGATAGGTTTAACTCCTGTGGTTTTTTCCTTCTAATTATGTGCATATCTTTTCAGAGTTTACAACTTGGGTGCACCTGTCCCAATTCAACATGCTGTCCTGAGACATGTGATCATGCATATCTCTTTGATAATGATTATGAAGATGCAAGAGACATATATGGGAAACCCATGCGTGGTAGATTTCCATATGATGACAAAGGTCGAATTATCTTGGAGGTACTTTAATTCTTGTTCTGTCAGCCATCACTGTTTTCATTCTAAAGCATCATAGTTTTGCTTGCTTACATTGCTTCTCAAATCACATATAAAAGAGCATGTGTTATTTGCTTGAAGACTCTTTGTAGAACAGTTTTTCAGATACTTTTATTGTCTGTTATTGCTCGGTCTGCAATGAATAGTTTATAATGTTTATAAATGAGTGTGTTATCTATCTGATTTGATACTCAAAAACTTATCTAAGCTTGAATTTACTACATTATATGGTAAAAAACCTTTTTAGACAAGTATATGTGACCACTTAGACTAGTTGGCATATTTGCCGCTCACCTTTGATTTTGGTTTGTATCTTGTGATTAAACCCTTTTGAAACTATGCAGGAGGGCTACCTTGTCTATGAATGCAATCACTTGTGTAGCTGCAATAAAGCATGTCCAAATAGGGTTTTGCAAAACGGAATACGAGTGAAATTGGAAGTCTTCAAAACAGAGACTAAGGTAATGATTTCAAATTTTGGTTGTTTTCTAAAGCGTTGTTTTTCAACTTTTCCTCATGTTGATCTTCAGGGCTGGGGAGTCCGGGCTGGTGAACTGATCTTGAGTGGGACATTTGTGTGTGAGTATGTTGGTGAGATTCTAGATGAGCAAGAGGCAAATAATAGGCGCATCAGGTTTCACCTTTTGATTTATGAAGATTCTTTTTCAATTTATTCTTGCTTTGAATGTTTTGTACTGAATGGGCTATATGATCAAGTTTCAGGTACAATAGAGACGGTTATAACTACATGTATAATGTTGATTCTCATATCAATGATATGAGCAGATTGATTGAAGGACAGATCCCGTATGTTATTGATGCAACTATATACGGAAATGTTTCTCGGTTCATCAATCACAGGTAAGTACACATGCTATACATCATGTATCAAAATCCTTTTCCTTCTTATTCTGATATTTTCTAAATTGTAACTTCACCATAATAATTGTAAACGATTCAATGGTGTTTTAATATATTGACCCTTTTTCATTGTGAATATGACTACTCTTGACAATTTCTGTTTTATTTCCTTTTAATTCTCTCCAGTTGCTCGCCTAATCTTGTGAATCATCAAGTTCTTGTTGATAGCATGGATTGTCAGCGTGCTCACATTGGGCTATATGCCAGTCAAGATGTAAGCAATTCTCAACATCATAAAGTCAAATATGTCACGTTTGTGAAATCTTGGATGATCCAAGTTTAAAAATGTTTTGTGAAAGAAATAAGATTTTGAATAGGCATCTCTCGACTTATTTCTTCAACCAAGATGTTGTAGGACTGATATCTTAAACTTTTTTTTTATGGATACTTAATAGTCATGTAAGCCTCTTGTTATTGAAAAAGAAAATAAAAGCTCTATGAACTTCTCAAAAATTGTCACAGTTTCATTCTTTTCAAGTGTTTTACATGTATTGATTCCTGCCATCTTTTCATTTTACGTTTTTGCAGATAGCTATGGGTGAAGAGCTGACTTTTGACTATCATTATGAACTGCTGCCTGGACAAGGACATCCGTGTCAATGTGGAGCTTCTGTCTGTCGGGGCCGCCTTTACTAAACTATCAATGAGCACTAAGGGCTCTCCATGCCCATCTAAATTTTGCTTTTCTAGTTCACAAATGAGGATAAATGGAACTAACATAGGATCGTTACCTCCAATCCGGCCACAGGACTAAATCTGCCAGTCTTGTGAATGGTTCTAGCATTGCTTCTTGCATTAAGTCAACTGATTAACTGCCAAATCTCGATTGTTGGCAATAGAGTTATGCAGGCTTCAGACAACATGCAACTTAAAACTTTTGTCATGGAATTTTCGCCATTGTACCTATGCAGTTTCTTCTTTCTAAACGAGCTTCAAGAAAACAGGCGAAAGCATGCAGTGTCTTTGGTGGATTCTCTTTTCAAGTTCCCCTCCTTTTCCCGAGTACTGAAATCAGCCAAAAACAGTTGGGTTTTTTTTCTCCGCGTTGTAGCATGTTCTTAGGTTGAAAGCATAACCTAGGAAGATTGGGAAGCAGTTCTTTCTGATGCATGAATTACATCTTTTGGTGATGGGAAGAGGAGAGAACAGATGATTGAACAAGAAAGGCATATTTTTTCATACCAGTATGAACAACATTTTATAGGTGTACAATAGCCAATAACGGCTCAACTGCTTCCTCCTAACTGCATTCACTAACAGCATAACAGCCTTAGCTAACTTCTCAACAAACTAACCACCTATTTAATGCACACAACGCACATACAAGTGAGAACATATACTCAAGCATACACCAGCAGTACAGATAAACCAGTAGACTAACATTCTCCCTACTTTTTCCTTTCTTCTTTTTTTTATTACAACAACTACATTATAGGCACCACACACACGTTGTTGCGAAACTCTTCAAAGGCCGTTTTAGACAGAGCTTTGGTGAACCCGTCTGCAACTTGATGCGCGGATGGAACGTAGTTTACTTTTAACAGACCAGCAGCAACTTTCTCCCTGACAAAATGGATGTCCATGTCAATGTGTTTGGACTGAGCGTGATAGACGGGGTTTGCACTCATCGCTACTGCCCCTGAGTTATCACACCATATCACCGGTTCCTGCCGCTGCTGAAGACCAAGCTCAGCAAGCATAGCATTTACCCAAGTTATTTCAGTTGCAGTGTCTTCTACACATTTATACTCTGCCTCCATGGTAGACCTTGATACAGTTTTTTGCTTTTTAGAGCTCCAAGCAACAAGGCACTTACCTGCAAACACGCCATAGCCAGAGATGGACCTACGATCATCAACACTTGCACCCCAGTCTGCATCAGCAAATGCAACAACCCTCAGGCAATCATCTGCTGGTCGAAACAACAGTCCATAATTAACAGTACCAGCCAAGTATCTCAGTATGCGCTTGACTGCAACCATATGCGCTTCACGTGGTGCTTGCATGTATTGAGCCACTTTCCCAACGCTATAAGCCAGATCAGGTCGTGTGTGGCACGCGTACAATAACGAGCCAACAATGCTGTGATATTCTGTAGCATTGGTTAATAGATCCCCCTCGTTTGCTGATAATTTGGAAGCTAAGACCATTGGCTTTCCACAGTTGGTAGCTCCCTTGAGTCCTGCCTTTTCAAGAAGCTCAAGTATAAATTTCTTCTGACTTAACACAACATTGCCACACAAACGATGTACCTCTATTACCAGGAAATAACTAAGCAGCCCTAAGTCTTTAAGAGAGAACTGTTCTCTAAGCAATTTCACCACCTCTTGAACTCTGTAAGGTGATAACTATATCATCAACGTAAACCAATATATAAATGTCAGAGCCATGTTCCTTACTGAAGAACAACGACGGATCTGCTCGAGACGCAGTGAACCCCATTCCAATAAGACTGCCTCTAAGCTTGGTATGCCAATTCCTGGGCGCTTGTCGAAGACCATAGAGCGCCTTGTGTAACTTGCACACGAGAGGGGTTCCATCATCAGCCATTTGCTCGAATCCCGGTGGTTGTTTCATGAAAACATCTTCCTCTAAATCCCCATTGAGGAACGCATTATTAATGTCCACATGTCTCAATTCCCATCTATTCGTTATAGCTAGAGCAAGCACAATATTGAAGGTGGAAAACTTCACAACCAGGCTAAAGGTATCTGTGAAGTCAAAACCGGGAACTTGTGAGAAGCCCTTTGCAACTAACCGAGCTTTATACCTATGGACAGATCCATCAGGATTTCGCTTGAGTTTGAATAGCCACTTGCAGCCCACAGGGACACACCCAACAGGTAGTTTTACTACAGACCACGTATTGTTCTTTACAAGTGCAGCATGTTCGGCTTGAACTGTTGCTCTCCAATTATCAGACTGCAGTGTATCTTGGACTGAGGAGGGAACTTCATCTTCAAAATAGCTAGAGAATGATTTGGGTTTGAATACCCCATATTTGCTGCGAGTTAACATGGGGTGGTAGTTTTGCCTTTGCACATCTACAACATCATTTCCAGGATCACTGGGCAGATTATCACACGTATCAGTTCCATTGACAGCATGCTCATCTGCAGCAGTTGTATTAAGCTCCGAGCTGGTTGTAGTAGTTATTTCTAGGAGGGGCACAGCTTCTTCGACGATGTCTGAGGCCGATATGGTTTCAGCAACACCCTCAGGCGGCGTTTGTTGTTGTGCAGCAATTTCAGCCTCCTCTTCAGGCACATTATCAATGACAGGAACAACTACTTGACGCCACCTCGCAGGATCAGAAACAATCGGAATTTCTCGAGCCTGCCACGTTGGTGGTCTTTGGTGAACCTCGTCAGAGCCTTGACCTGCAAACGGAAACACTAGCTCATTAAATATAACATGACGTGATATATAAACTCGGCCATTACTCGCAAGGCACTGATAACCCTTATGCTTAGGGCTGAAGCCAAGATACGTGCAAGATTGAGAGCGAACCGCCAGCTTATGATTTTGAAACGGCCTTAGATGCGGAAAGCATTGACATCCAAACACTTTCAGTGTGGAATACTCTGGTTTCTTGCTGTATAGTTTCTCAAAGGGTGAGGCACCATCAAGAACCTTAGTGGGCAATCGATTAATAAGGTGTACCTAGGCTACCATGGCATACGACCAATACTAGACAGGCAGAGACGCTTGAGCCAGCAGAACTAATCCGAGTTCCACTATGTGTCGATGCTTTCGTTCAACGACGTCATTCTGTTCTGATGTATGGGGGCAAGACAATCGGTGAACTATGCCTGCTCGTGCTAACAGCGTAGAGAATGGTCGATATTCTCCCCCCCAATCAGTTTGAACAGCTTTTATTGATACTCCAAACTGATTTAGAACAAATTTGTGAAACAATTGAAACGCATGCAGAGCTTGAGCTTTATCTTTTAGCAAGTAAACCCATGTAAACCGAGTGCATGCATCTACGAACGATATGTAGTATCGAAAGCCATTAGACGCAACATGTGGAGGACCCTATAAGTCTGAAAAAACTAATTCAAAAGGTACTGTATACTGAGTAGCAGAAGGTGCAAAGGGAAGCTTATGGCTTTTCCCCATTTGACAAGCCACACATGTTTTATTAACTTCAGAATCAAGTTTTACATTGATTTCCTTAGCTATTTTGTCTAAAGCATACTTAGCAGGATGCCCTAAACGCCGGTGCCACAATTCAGACTGATCTTGAGACAAATTTGTTGCAACAAGGTGCACAGCAGCACGTGGTTCTTCTTTGTGTGCACAACCAAAAACAAACGTATACAGTCCACCCTTTTCTTCACCACGCAGTAGAACTTCTCCAGTGGCTTCATCACGTACAAGACAATTTGCAGCATGAAACTCAAAGTAGACTGCATTGTCCCTAGCAAGCTTGGATACCGAAATTAAATTTTTCGTTATACGGGGTACATGCAACAAATCATTCAAAAATAAGGTTCTGGAGGAATCCAAAGCTGAATTACCAATACTACTAATGTTAAGGGAAACTCCATTTCACAGTGTAAGTTTACCTGGACCTCGAAATTCAGCGGAGCTTGTAATATTGGATGGATCAGGAGTAACGTGGTGCGTTGCGCCCGAATCGATGACCCAAAGGTCTGCTGATTTGGAGGTAATATTGGCTTGCGATGACCCTGCTGTCACATGAGAACGTCCCTTGCAGCATTCACAGCTTGAGCAGGGGGATTCGGCAGTTGAATAATGACTGTTAGCCGACTGGTTCTTATGAGTACGAGAATCAGAGGTTACACACATAAAGTCTTCATCAAACCGGTGCCAGCAACGGTCAACAAGGTGACCTAGTTTGCCACACAGTTGGCATTGGACTCGAGTTCGTCCTCGGCCACGACCAGCTGGTCGGTTTCCTGAAGCCGATCGTGAGGCCCTAAAGTCACGTCGACCACTGTCAGAAAAGCCATCCTCACGCTGAGCAACATTGGTGCTCATAGGTAGTAAATCCATTGACTCATCGAAGCCTGCTAGCTGAGCTTCAGGATCCAAAAGCACCATGTAAAGATCCTCCAAAGAAAGAGTTTCCTTCATCATCGTAATAACCGCCATGAACGGTTGGTATTCTCTGGGCAGCCCTTTCAAAACGCTGGCTATGTGACCGACATGAGAAATAACACTTCCACAAGAAGCAAGTGCATCGCATACTTCCTTTACACGAGTAAGATATACTCGCATACTATCATTCCCTTTCTTCAGTGATTGTAGTTTGCAATGTAAGCCCATGGCTGCAGTCGTGGACCTGCTGGAAAACAACTGTTGCACTGTATTCCAAACTGTAGTAGCCGAGTCTGCTCCAACAAATTGAGGTAAGAGGTGTGGGCTGATGGTAGATAGGAGCCACGATGCCAATGCACTGTCCTGTGCAAACATTCATATTTCACTCCCTTTAATACTCTTAACTTTCATACACTTACTTAAACTAATTATTATCCATTCAATACCTCTAAAACTAAAAAAACTAATCATCCATATAGAATTTAAGAATCTTACTCAAATTCCAACTTGTTCTAATTTTAATTCTATCACCTCATACTTCTTAATTAGCTTGATGACAAGTCAAATCCAGCTTCTAATTCTTATTATGACCTTTAATCTAAGATTTCATTCAAAGGCTCCCAACCTTTAATCTCCCTTAACT